CCCCAAAACCCCAAAACCCCAAAACCCCAAAACCCCGCACAAATGATCTTAGATTGAATTTAGACAAATTAGCGGATGCCTTCTTTCAGAGTCTTCGTCATGTGTTCAGAGAACTTTGTGTGGTTTGTGAAGTCGCAGCCAAATAAGTCTCTTTCCTGGATCGAGTTCTTTCATAATTTCAGATCTATGAAAATTAATAATGTTGAGGGTTAACCTCTAATAATGTCTTATAAACAGAAGAGGAGTCAGTTACCTTTAGTATTTATCTAAGCTTTGATATTTTGAGTTTCATTTTTTTTCAATTCTCGTGTCAATATTCATTCTGAGCTTTTCTACATCAATGGTTCTCAGACTAAGTGGTTCTAAATCTTTATCAACCACGTCAAATTTATTTAACTCAGCTTGAGCTTGGGTGTAGAGTAATTTTTCTAATAAAAATTTATCTATCAGATCTCTTGCATCTCCATCAATTTTCTTGAAGATTTTGTTTTTGAACTCTTGAGCATAAATATCCAGAAAGCTCTGACTGATGTCTATGAGCTCTGAATGCTCTTGTATTGATGCTTGAAGCAGGTTTTTTTCTAGCTCTTTTCAATAATTATTGGACTCTAGTATTTTAGCTTTGATCCCAGGGTTTTCTTCAATATCTCAGACTTCATGATTTGAATGTACAGACTCTTTAATTAACTTTAAATAGAAGAAACAAGAACAAGTCTCTCAGAATAGTTTACCAGCCATATCATGATCTGGTCACTTTTTGATGAATTTGCTTTTGTCTTGGGACTCAAAAACTTCCAGTTGGTGTCTGGTTTGTTCAACCATGAGATTTCTGACTAAATCTTTCTTTTTGGCATTTTTCTGCAAAATGTTCGGATGCCTATAACTCTTATGTCTTAATATTGGAACAGACATCGCCAATAAAGGGAGAATGGTTAGAGGTTTATCTTGCTCTTTTATGGATTTTAGTTACTTAGTTTATGCATTATTGCCACAAAACCTTCAGATCATTAAAGATTCAGATTAACTCGACAATCATATTGATCAGGTTAGAATTTCGCAATCCTGATCTTTTTACTTGAAATGACAATTAACTCCATCATAATGAAAATTTCCAGATTGTGCCAGATAGGTTATCCTCCTAAAGTAAGGATTAGCAAGCTCAAGTTTGGAATGTATTAAGAGAGGTCAGAGAAATATGCTTTGAATGAAACGATGCTTTGTGAAATTAAGTTAAAACCAGCATGTTTACCTTTTCCTTCTCATCTTGGCTTCTAATTTCTTGCCCAGCAGAGAAGTTATCAGGATAAGAAATCTTCAATCATGTTAGGCTCTACTCTATATTCTTCCAAGACTGGCCATATATATTTAGACTTTCTTACTGTTATGATGATATTGATGCTCTTGGCCATCTATTTCATGATAGCTTCTTGCCAAAGAGAATGGTGAAGCATAACCTTATCTCCGGTTGGTTGACGTCCTACTTCTATGTAGCTCTTCACTTGAGATTTCATCAGCATATTCCGATTTTTCCATTAGCTCTAATCTTTGTTGTTCAAATGGTCTTATTTTCTTAATTTATACTTAATTTTATTTGTCTTTAATCTCAGTATGGATTGGGGTTTTGGGGTTTTGGGGTTTTGGGG